AAATCTTGCAATGAAAGAAGTGCTGTAGATAGTACATGGATTCATGCATGCTTGGCACTATTCGCTGAGTAATAGTAACGTCACAGTTGCATGTGAGCCTGCAGGCTGTGCCAGTGGCCCTGAGTAAGTGTGCCAAGAAGTGTGCCTAGGTGCAGGAGTGGTTAAAGACAGAGTGATGTCTAGAGAGGATCCCATAGGTTATACTGTACTGGTCTGTATGCAGAAGCTGCTCTGGGGGAAGCTGGTTTCAAGAAATGGGTTGCCTGATTTGGTGACAGGCTGATGCTGCAGCTCTATCAACATCCTGTATCAGGATGGCAGATATACACTGCACCACACCACAGTTGTCCAGCACTGCATCTCTCCAAGAAGGAAGGCTACGGGAGATCTAATTGCTGTCTTCCACTACCCAGAGCATGTCTTCTCTCAGAGGTGCACAGTGAAAGAATGTAAGGCAACGATCACACATTGCACCAAGGGAAGCATGCCATGAAAGCAGATAAGCCCTGCAAGAGGTAGCCAGAGAGGGTGGGGAATTTCTTCTTTGTCAGCATTGAAAGTTCATTACATGTCCTAACTTTGCTGTTAGCCTTGCTTTGAGTAGGGATTAGACTGAAGACCTCCAAAGGTCTTTCCCAACCCAAATTATCTATGTTACTCTAATTGTGACAATGAATACCAAATGGCCTTGGTGACCTTGTTGTGTGGGTGAAAGACGTTATAGTGGAGGCTCTGGAGGCCTTCAGGTGGAGCTATCAGTAATGAAAGCATTGACATATGATTGTTGGAGAGGGCACTGCTGATTGTTGAGGGAGTCTTTGATGATAGCAGCATGGATGAGCTTGGACAAAACTGCATTGCTTGAATCCCTGATGTATGTGATGAAGAAAGAAAGAGGCAGCACAGATCCCCATATGGGCTGTTAGTGATGGCAGATAATATCACTGAGCAAGGGAGGTGCTGTTAACAGTTGCCAACACTGTGGACTGGAGTCACAAAGAACTTGGACAGTTTTCCATGCTGGGCTGCCTAGCACAGCAGCCCTTACCTCTCACAATTACTAGAGCTCTTATCTCAGTTCCAGCCAGCTAGCAAAGGCAAGTGACCAGTTCCAAGATTTTCTTTACTCACAGAAATCAGCCCATTTCCTTGACAGTTGATAGTTATCCTCAGGAATTTGGCTTTGCAAATCTTAAATAACACACCAGGAAGTGTTGAAGAAAGCTTTAGTGTAAGTGTTTAATAGCCTGGCATAAGATCACAGCATAAAAGCCAAAATGAACTATGTTAGAAGACTGAATGTTCTGACCAGTTATCAGTAACAGGTATTTATAGGAGAAATGTAAGAAAGTGTAAAAATGACAGTCATCTGATGGTTTTAGCCTTAAGCACAACAGGAGTACAACCACAATCACATGGCAAGGAATTTCCGTGGCAACTGATAACATTTTTCATTTAGCTGCAATTAATTTCAGGCTGTAATCTACCTAAGGACACAGAACACAGAAGGATGCAGCAAGATAGCTAATGCCATATACAGAAAAAGGAAATGGCTGAACTGTGGGTATGATGGGAATGGGAGGGAGCAAAAGCAGGACCTGGTGTAAGAAAACCCTGTCCCAACACACCGTGTCACAGGCAGGAAATGCTCCCTGACCTCCATTACCACCAGATATCACTATGTGGGTTTCCCTGCAATGGACTGGGTAAATAACGCAGGTGTGATTTTTCCTGGTCCATCACAGGTCTCTCTTAGTTTAGGAACAAAATGTATTTATTAACTGCCTTACTAGACACACTGCCTCCATGATTGCCAGGGCCCTGATCAGCACCCCCAGGGCTTCCCTCCACCCTGTCCATGGCTCAGGATCTCCCTCCAGCCCAAACCACAGCTGTTAGTGCCTGTCCCTCTCCCTGGAGGGAGCTGCTGCCCTCACTGCACCCCAGCACCAACTGTCTGAAGTGCAATGATACCTAAGTTCTGCTGAAAGTCCTTTTCAGGAAACTGCACCCCAACCCACACACAGCTTTCTGAACTCTAATAGGTACTGTTGTTTCTGTACCTGCAAGCTACAGTTTAGATGGCAGTGGGACAGTCCCAAGGGAAGGTTGAACTGGGCCAACAGAAGTCCTCCTGTCAATTTATGAATTGTGGAGAAGTGTTACTGTTTGATAGCTGGCTCTGTTGGTTTCCACAACTGAAAACTACAGTTATGAGCCTTTACATCCACTTCTTCAGCTCCTTCTTGAGGAACAAGCAGCACTGAATAGATCTGTCAGTCCAGCTGGTCCAAGGTCTTGGGGAACATGGGAGAAGAGCTGTGAGCTGCCCTCACTGGCTATGTTTTGGTTAACTAGCATCTAGGAGGCTTGTATTAACTTGCATCCAGGCAGGCTATATTCATGATTTCCCAGGGCACAGCAGTTGTGGTGGCTGGTTCATCAGACAGACTGTCCCCATTTACCTTCCCAGCTATCTAGACAGGTTATCACTGTGATTATAAAGCAGGTGTGGGCGCCAGCATCAGCATCAGATGAGGATGTTGTACCTCCCAGCACTTAGGAAGCACTTAGTTTTCATGACTGGGGTGAGTAGTGTCAGTCTAGCCCAGTGTATAGACACCTGGGGTGGGAAAGAGGCAATGATGGTGCTTTGGCTCAGCCCAGATTCCCTTTCTCTCAGTAACTCTCACTCAGTAGCTAGAACAAGTGACAGCTCCAGCAGCCTCTACCAAAAGTGTGTTTTACAGCTTTTAATCTATGCAAAATAAGGAGAGAAGCACAGTCACAGCTAACAGAAACTATTCTTAACTTTATGAGGGATGGCATCAAGTGGAGCACTCCACTGAGGGAATATGAGTTATCCCTTCCTTTCTTCCCCAAAGCACCTTATTTGTTAACAATCCAGTAGTGAACAGATACTATGTCTTTCCCTCTGCAAGCATCAATCCAAGAGCTGTGTGATGTCTCTCATGTCAGAAAAATCTGTAGTGGTTATTAAAGATTTGCAGGCAGGTATGAAGAAACAAACTGAAAAAAGGTGATGTGTATTCCCTGTTCCAGAGCTAGAGGAAAACAAAGGTCACCAACCTTCTTGCAGTCAAGGGCTTCTGGAGATGCATGCATAAATAGCAAACCTGCTATCTTGGAGATGGGGCTAGAGGGAAACCCAGCTTAGTATAGCTAAACTTTAGAGAAGATAGCATGAGAAAGATGAAGTTTCCTGGCCCCTTACCCACCCTGATCGAACCATTTCAACTGAAGACAATATCAAAATTCTCACAAGTTTCTTTTATTTTTTTCAATCAATTTTTGTCTCATATATACTGAGGAAAGAATCCACCTGTATTATCTTCATATCTGTTGTGCAGATAAGGAAACGCTCCATTTGTGCATATAAAGGGATTTCACTTGTCTCACAGGGGTAGGAGTCTAGACACATGCAAGGGTGAAGACATAGGTGCCATTATTTGTACAGAAATAGTTTAAATCTGAGGAAGAAACACACCGATACCCTGCAGCTTCAAAAGAAGTGAAAGGAAACATGAAACATCCTGTCTCTACAAACCCTCTTCCAGTAACTCTAAAGAAAATCTTCAGACTTTTAAGGGTTTGCAAAGCTACTTAACCTTTCTTAATAGTTTTCCTGTTTTCCTCTGAGGCCAAACAGATTTATGTGTGAAAGGACAACTTGCACTTGACGAAGTGAAGCCATCTGCCACTTCTTGTTTGCACCAGTTCTGCAAAGCTAATCCCAGAGTTTCTGTCTTTTCTTGTGTTTTCAAACTCAATAGAAATGAAAAAGCTTGAAGAGCAGAAGAGATGGCATATTGCTTCTTTAGAGGCTGATTTGCTTCAGTGTTTTCTCATTATTAAAGTAGGGCATCTGCTGAAATAACAAAGAAATTGTGCACAAAACAAATTAAAATGCTTGAAAGTCTAAGGTCAAGCAAGTTAATCTGAGTGTTAGGAATGTTCAGCCAGACTCAGATTTGTCTGCTATTTTTTCCAGACTCAGTATCTTCATTTAAGGAATTTGCTCTCCCACCCTACAATTTTTTTCCCACTGGCAGCCAAATTCTCATTGAAGCTAATGGGAACAAACTCTGACGCTTGTGTAAATGACTTCCCAATGCATGGAAACCATCCTTCTGAAATCACTAGGGTCTACAATACTGTAGGTAACAAAGAAACATAGACTCATTTAGGTTGGAAAAGACCTTTAACATCACTGAGTCCAACCGCAAACCTAACACTGACAAGCCCACCATAAAACCATGTCCCTAAATGCCACATTTACATGTCTTTTAAATACCTCCGGAGATACTGACTCAACCACTTCCCTGTGCAGCCTGTTCCAATGCTTGACAACCTTTTTTGTGAAGACATTTTTCCTAACAGCCGATCTAAACCTCCCCTGGCACAACTTGAGGCTATTTCCTCTTGCCCTAGGGCTTGTTACCTGGGAGTTGAGACAAACACCTGCCTCACTACAACAGGCTTCTGAGGTCATCAGGGCTTGCCCCAGAGACCAGTACTTGGAGTCAGCAGGCTGCAGAGGAGGGGAAATCATGTTTTTCCTAGTAAGCTCCCTGTGGGACCCTTTACAGGCTATCCTCACCTGTCCCCAGAGCCTCTTGAGCAGGAGATGGCCACTTGCCAGCTCCTCACATCCTGACCCACTTTTCCTGAGAACTCAGCAAGGCTGAGTTTCACAGACAAGAGGAAATCCCTAAACAGCATGCAGCCCAGAGAGTGGAAAAGTTTTTTGAGGGAGATGGGTTTTTTTTTTGTGGTTTGGGTTTAGTTTTGTTTGTTGTTTTTTTCTCAACTTCCACATGAATGTGTTTGACAGCTCACTGTCCCTGTCAGTGCAGAATCCCAGTGGAAACTGGAGCTGGGAGGGCTCTTCCTGCCTGGGGGAGGTTTCCCAGGAGTGCAAGGCATTTACTAATCACCATCTTTCACTCTCTGTCCCTTGCTGTGTCCCACCGAAGGCCATGCACAGTGGCAAGCTGCAGACAGGTTTGTTGGTGGCTGGCTACTTTATCTATCTGCTTGTGGGTGCTGCTGTGTTCCAGGCACTGGAGAGAACTGCTGAGAAGCAGAAGAAAATGGCAGCTGCCCAGATGAAGGAGGCTTTTTTGCAGAACTTCACTCACCTCACAGTGGCGGAGATGGAACAGTTTATGAAGGTGCGTGTCAGCCCTGTGGAAGCCCTTTATCCCTCCTGTCTCCCCATCAGATGTTTCCTATTCAGCCTTGCTATCCAGATAACTTTCTATGCTTTCCTACTGATGTGGTCATTTGGATGCTTTTACTAACCCAAAGCTCACTCTCCAGTCTGAGCAGGCAGGTCACTGATGGTAAATACAGCTTGTGCAGTTTGATGAAACCTTGTGTGTTAGCTATTAACAGTCCCCATCCCACAGTGTCCTGATTCTTTGGGGTCTTGACTCCTCCTGATTCAGTTTTCAGTGTGGCTGACTCATCTACAATGGGAGGTGTAGCAGGAAAAATGAAGCTGTCAGAAATGGATGGGCATGGTTGCCACATACAACAGTGCCACAGATAGCACAAAGGAACCATATGGCAAGGTCAGAAGTAATCTGTTGGGAAAAAAACAAAGAAGCCCGAATCAATACAAGGAGGGTGCCATAGTGAGGGTTTACTTTTTGAAGATGCTGCAGAAGTGAAACTTTTCCCTGGCCAAGGGAAAGGTGTTTCTGGTCATGGCACAGGAAGCTGAGGATGAGTACGGTTGTCTCCCAGCCATTGGTGTCTCCTAGTTCTAGCTGTTGCAATGACGAAGGAAATGGGGAGTGCAAATAGCCTTGCAGTAAGCATTTCTGCATAGAAAACTATAAGCTAGTTCATAGGATAAGGAAAGGAGGGGAAGAACTGGTATGTCTAATAACACAGTGATCCAGCCTTGAGTTTACATATGCCTGCATCCTCTTCATTTTGGATTTTTTTTTCTTCATGGGTAGTGGAGTTAAAAAAAGGAGGAATTTTTGAAGACAGTGAAGTCTTTGTGCAAGGGCTGTGGAATAATTCCTGTTAGCTTCAATTTTCTGGGGCACTAGCACTAAAGATAGTGAGGGTGGAAGAGGGGAGGTAGGTATTTTCTGGTGCAGTTTATTCCGGCTTGTGTCGTGCCTCTGGCAGGGTTCAGCCCTGGATTTTCTCTTGGCTGTTTCTGTACAAATCAGCCTGCCTTTCAAATGTCCAGTCCAATGTTCTCTGCTTGCTATAGGCAGGGCTTCTGCATACTGTCTGGCTTTTTAATTACCTTTTTTTTTTAACTAAAAAAAAAAATAAATGTATAAATTAACACCATCAAGGAAGAAGGGAAGTCTGAAAATGGAAAAAATGACATCTGGTAGAGCTGGAAGGGCTTGGGAGAAACATCTAGGCAAACTGCCCTATGGCAGGACAGTCTCAACTCAACCCAAAACATCTCTGACAGCTGTTCATCTAACCTCATCTCAAAGGCCACATTGTAAATACGTGTATGTGTGCTCATCCATGCAGTTGTGAGAAGAGTGCATATGTCAAGCTGAATTGTGGTTGTGGTCACACCAAGAATAATGCTTTGCAAATCAGTGGACTTTGTCTGAATTTAAATCTGTGATACTAATCAGAATACGACTTTAAAATGAAATTCTCTTGTGTTATCACACATACCCTGCTATAACTCACTGATGCCCTCTGGGAGGCATCAGAGTCACTGCTCAGTGCGCCTGCATACAGATGAGTGATGAGATCTTGTATCCAGCACTGTCATCTTAAGGGCGAATGCAAAACCATCAACCAGCCACCCTATCACTTAAGTGGGCTGTCTTGCTCTGCCACATCCTAGTCATATGTAGGACAATTTTTTCCGAAGTACTTAGCCTAAAAGAACCAAGGTCCTTGATCATGCTAAAGGAAGTAAGTTCTCCTAACAACCACTAGAGCAGTCAGCATAAACAGGGCAAAAGAATAACACCCAAAACCACTGGAGGTGAAGGTGTGAATACTATCAAGAATATCACTGAGGACTGGTGAGTGGTATTTACAGGAAAGGAGCAGTTGCTAGGTAAATCTGTAGTATTCTTGCAGCAAGCACTTCAGAAAAGCAGCTGTATTGATACCAAATGTTTGCTTTCACTCCCAGAACCTGACTGAAGCCATTCAGAATGGAGTATACCCTGTTGGAAATGAATCACAGATTGAAGACAGCAACTGGGATTTCAGTAACTCCTTCTTCTTTGCAGGCACGGTTGTCTCCACAATAGGTAAGTCTGATGCTTTCCATGTATGTGTGTGATGTCTGGTTATGAGGACCTGAATTGATACTTTCAAGAATAAAAACTTCAGTCCTTCATTGTCATGGATGGTAGACAGCAACAGACTTGGTCCTGAGACCTCACTCGCAGCTATTTGTACTCTATATTGGCTTTTCATATTATTTCCCACTTGTTTCTTCTGTTTGAGCTCAGTCTGTTCAGTTAAAATGCTCAGTCTGCTACCAGTTGTGGGTGGGAGACAAACTTTGCTTTCCTGGTCTTTTTTTAGGGTCAAATAGGCTGTAAGACATAAGAGAATTACAAGAAAGAAGTGAACTTTGCTGGGGCATGGGCACTGTCTCAATAATCTGTCCTGAGCTGTTAGTGCACATATTGAATTAGTAATATGCCAGGAGGGAAAAAGTGGGAAGGCGGTAAAGCAAATGCTGAGACTTCTACACTGCTTCTTCAAGCTGTTCTGACCTTTTTAGGGCCTGCCTACCTCTTCCTTTCTCTCAGATACGAATCCCAAAAAGTGCAGGCCTGCCAAATTTAAGATAAAATCCATACTGTTAGCTCACACTTCACACTCAAATTCAGTGAAAGTCAAAGCTACGTTTCTTCAGAGAAAAGCTGAGGCCTCATTCACACTACACCATGGGCACAGCTGCTCCACTGAGATGTGAGTGTGACATGTCACAAGGGCCCCAATGGTCCCAGCATCATGGTGGGTGTGCAGGTGTTGCACAAACCCATGCAGGAGACCTGCTGTAGAAGAGAGAAAGGCTTCTGACCATTCAAATCAAGGACAAATTGTCCATGGTTACGACATTCACGTATCAATAAAGCTTCCCTAGTTTGTCAGCATTCTGCTGCTTGCCAACCCATTCATTGCCACCACCTGTATCTTTGTATTTTTTCATAACAGCATTTCTCTGCCAAACAAATCAGTCACTTCCTGTAAAATTTGTTTCCCTAGTGAGGCAGTGTCATGGTTTAACCTCATCCAACAGCTAAGCACCCCTCACTCTTCCCTGGTGGGATGGGGGAGAGAATTGGAAAAATGAGAAAACTCCTGGGTCGAAGAGTAAAAGTGAGAAAACTCACGGGCTGAGATGAAAACTGTTTAATAGGTAAAGCAGAAGCAGTATGCACCAGCTAAGCAAACTGAGGAATTGATTCACTACTTCCCATCAGAAGGCAGGTGTTCAGCCACCGTCAGGAAAGCAGAGCTCCATCACATATAACAGTTACTTGGGAAAACAAAATGCCATAACTCTGAACATCTGCCCCTTTCTTCTTCTTTCCCCAACTTTATATGCTAAGCATGATGCCATGTGGTATATCCCTTTGGTCGGTTGGGATCAGCTGTCCTGCCTGTGTACCCTCCCAACTTCTTGTGGACCCCCAGCCTCCTTATTGATGGGGTGGGGTGAGGAGCAGAAAAATACTTGAGTCTGCTCAGCACTGCTCAGCAATAACAAAAAGAGTTATTGACATTGTTTTCAGCACAAATCCGAACCATAGCCCTATACTAGCTACTATGAAGAAAATTAACTCCATACCTGCCAACACTAGCACAGGTGAACAGACCATCCCAGGAAAAGTGCAACTTTGCCTGTTTCTCTGCAACCTTTGCCACATAAGTCTGTTGTGAAGGTATGTCAGATACTTTCACTCATTTTCACCAGGTTTTGTCATGAAAACAGAATATTTCTGCAACAGAAAGGACAAGACAGCTCAAGTATTTGGGGGCCTACTATCCAGTAAACCAAATAGTTGTTTTGTTTGTCTTTTTCCTCAAATAAAACATCACATTTTCCAAGTAGTGGATGCCTTGAGATGAACTGTGCTTGGGAAAGTGCTTTTTCTCAGGGTCACTGATAGAGTAAGGACATACAGAAAGTACAGGACTTTTGCACTCACAGGGAGATACCGCATGGGGTCTAAGTAAGAACAGTCCCCGTTCCATTAAATGAGATGTCTGGAGTTCTGCAGCTGTTGTTCCACTATTTATCTAAGTGGATAAATCCTCTTTTAGTAGGACTTTATGACAAATATCTCTCTGGCATGAATAAATCAGCCACCAGTAAGGTTTGAACTAATTAGCACCATCTATTCTAATGCACACTGCACTGCTCCAGGACTGGAGCCAGTATCTGGACATTCCAGCTTGCTGGGATTTAGCCAAAAGGGTCACCAGCACACAGGCAGATTGACAAGAAGCTAGAGATGGCTGTGTGTGATTCTGACATGGCAAACAGCTTGTGAGTTCAGCCTTGATGTCTTCCAGGTCCCCCGACTTCTGGTTTTTGTTTTTCCATGTATCTGTCACAGGACAGTGCATGATTTCCATAATTGCTTTTAGATAGTGTTTTCATTCCCACTAAGACTGGGTTGGGAGCATACAGTGCTCTCTGCACCCCCCAAACCATGCATGGCAAATCACTTTCTCTTCTTGCTGCCTTTTTCTGCAAAACAGTATGCATTTCAACTAAGAAGTGCTAGTCACATCTTTTAGGGTCAAAGGCAAGCCAGGTTGGGGTAGATGTAAATGTGACTGTGGCTGTTCCTGTTCTCTGGAACAACTCCTCTGACCCTGTTTTGTTCTTAGGCTATGGCACACTACGTCCTAAAACTGCTGGGGGCCAGATCTTCTGTGTCTTTTTTGCTCTGTTTGGAATCCCTCTGAATATTGTTTTTCTACACCGTGTTGGTAAGATGCTGTCACTGCTGTGTAAAAAGCTGGGGAAATTCCTGTACGAGAAAGGAATGAGAAAGGTAATTGGTTTTACTTACTCAGGCAGTTATATGCTCATTTCTAGTTTTATTTTCAAGATGTATGCTGGCATTATCGTCTATTGTATTTGTTCTCATGCTGTGTTAGGCATTGCATTAGGAGAGGGGAAGA